TATTAAGGAAAAAGCATAAATACATATCCTTTTATCTAATTATAAGCGTAGAGTTTCCTTAACTTTGATTCGTGGACATTCGTTAACACTGATAGTTTTATTTACTTAACTGCACATTTCATTGACAATAATTGATGGATATAGAAGAAGATTATAAGTTTTGGTTTCATGTCACCCCCATGATGGCTTAGCATTATTTGAGAAACTTCAACAACTTCTGATTGACTAGAAACTTCACAGCAAGCTTTTTAGTATAACTCTAGATAATGCTTCAACAAATACTATTTTTATTGATTTTTTTATGAAATTATTTGAATTCGTATAATATTCTTCCATATGAGATGTTGTGCACATATAATAAATCTTACTGTTCAGAAAGGTTTGAACTAGATTGATTCATCTGTTGTGAAGGTTCGTGAGAGTATAAAATATGTTAAAGGCTCTTAATCAAGAAAACAAAAGTTTTTAGAAAGTGCCCGGCAAAGTTTGCTAGAAACTAATAGAGGCTTGAGGCAAGACGTACCAACTAAATGGAATTCTACTTTCATTATGCTAGATAGTGCAATATACTTCAAAGGTGCTTTATGAATTTGGAGTTGAGCGATTCCAACTACAAGTCTTGTACTTCAAATTTTGAGTGGAAAAAAATGGCTAATGTCCGCAAGTTTTCGCACCCTTGTATGAAATTACTTGTGTTTTCTCTGGATCAAAGTACCCAACTGTAAATCTTTATTTCCCAGGACTATAAAAAGATAATGACTTTTGGTATGCTTACAAAGTTTGATAGGTATTGGTCAGACTTCATTGTTATTTTAGTGATAGTAGTGATTCTAGATCCAAGGTACAATGTTTACTTTGTTAAATGGTGTCACAAGAAACTATACTTGGATAATTATGCATCTGAAATTGCAGAAGTGAAGGAGAAGTTATACACCCTTTTTTCATACTACTCAGCAACAGAAAACCAACCCTCAACAACTGCATCTCAATAATCTCAATCTTCACGACAAACTGAGTCAACTAGTCATTCCACTTATATCATTAAATTACAATGTCTTCAGGTTTAGTTTTGCACTTCACATTTCATAATATCTTACCTTCTGAGATGTACGTGTTTGATGAAAGCCCCATCTAAAATTAAGCAAAAATAAAAATGTCACTTTCGATGTAGGACACTTAAATTTATTAGTAATTTAATAGTTTTTAATAATTTTATGATTCTATCTCCATTGCATTCTCACATTCCTTTCACAAGCTTCGCCAAAATTAAAATCAATTTGATAAATAGATATAAGTATGATCACAATCATTCAAAAAAGAATGGACGTCAAAGATGAGAGTAATTAGACCATGAATATTTTATGAGGAGCGGATCCCTCCCATTTTCATTCCACATAATAAAATTTGGCATAATACAAGCGATGAATGTTTCATTTAAACAAAGATTTGACATCAAATTAACATAAAAATTAAGAAAATCATAATTATATAAGAAATTATAATTTTCGTTTGATATATTAATTAAAATTTTATTTCTTAAATAAAAATTTACTTGAAATCCTAATTGCTTATTCGAAATGTTTTTTTTCCATTAATTTTTTTTTAAATCACATTAATATATTTATTTTTTAATTTTTTGATATTAATTTTTGAACAAATGAAATAGAAAATTTTGACTTTATATGCTTGATTATAACAATAATTGGCTAAATAATCTTGTTATTTTTTTTTATTTGGAGAAATATGCCAAAATTTTTATTTTAAAAGAAAATCTAAGATAATTTCAAGAGAGTCTCGAATGTCCCTTGATTGAAGACTTATACGAACTTTCTAATAAGAGAGCCTCAAATGTCCCTTCTTCATATGACCATTTTTCGTCTCCAAGAATTTCAAAGCTTATGTGATCATTTTTCGTAAAGCTTCTATAGATTGTATCAATCTTTTGTTGATTATTCTTTTGATTATTTAGGTTCTAATGCATCCATCAACACTATAGGTTATGATTAAAAAAAAAAAAGAATACAAAAATATCATAGGTTCAAAAAAAGAAAAAAAAGTATGAACAAATTTTGAACATGATTCAAAGTTCGCTCGTACGATCAACCCTAAATTCTGAACATCAGTAGGCATCACAATACCACTTACAACTATATTCGAATCATACTCAAATTTATTTAAACATTGTTCAAACCATATTCACAACTTGTTTTGGCCAAAGTCGCAGTCGTTCGAACCATATTTGAATTTTGCTCGAATATTATTCAAAAGTTATTTGAACCTCTCTCAAATAATGTTTTACGTTTGAACATAGTTAGAGCAAGGTTCAAATATGGCTTAATTAAGATTTGAGCATGGTTTGAACAACTTTGGTTTCGTTTGGGACAACATTCTTACTGCTTCTTAAAGCAAGTTTCTTATACTAGACATTGTTTAAATTCCGCAATATGAGGCTCACATTGAGGCTCGCCTCAATGCAATTCTAGTGAAAAATGCCTCGAGGCTTACGCCTCTAGCTTTTTTATGAGGCTTGCGCCTCAGCTTAGCTGAGGCCCGCCTTGAAACATGCATCGCCTCGCTAGTGTGAGTTTTACGCCTCACCCCATTTGTATACATTTTTTGTTAAAACTAGCATAAATCACACCTTCATACACATTCGAGCGCAAGAACTTCCTCTAGATTGCCTAATCCTCCAGTCCGCGGCCTTCGCCACAGCCAACACCATCATAGCCGTCACCGGCAATCACTTGAAAGATGCACACCATCCTAAAAAATTTGGAGCATTAATCTCATATTTATGTTGATGAAAATATTTCTAAAATATAAACATTATTGAAATAAATTAAAAAGAAGCATATTATGAGGAATTCGACTCTACCGAATGAAGCACATGATGGACTAATTTGTTATGATGATAACTCAGGTAAAGAACACCTCAGTGCTGACAGTGCAGATGATTCCTATGTTTTTGTTAACTATTTCAACTTTTATTATGAATTAAATGTAAATGAGTTGAGAAATGAGAAAGAAGAAATTTTTAGTTGAACTTGATGTTATAGATACATTTATGTAATTTCTATATTTAGTATTATTTTGTTTTTATAGTATTTGAATTTTAATTCTATTTCACACAATTTATCACTTGTTACATTATTTCTTGTGCAATTTCTTATTTCATATATGTCAATATGTTAATTCATAATTCAATAAGAAGTTAATATGACATCATTTAACATATTATTCATGTATTATATAAAAAATCACTTTTGACATTTATTATCATTTTACGCATTTTTTTTTTAATTTTGAGACTTACGCCTCAAACGCCTTGAGTCTTACGCCTCGTCTCATGAACAAAAAAATGTCTCAATACTCAATTACTCAATGTTAAACATTGATACTAGAAAAGCCGCTTTAAGAAGCTAAAATAAAGCTATCACAAAAGAAGCCTTTAACTAATTTTCGATCTAAGTTTCATAAAATTTTGTGCAATGTTAAAAAATTATTCTATCATGCATGAACAAGATTCAAACATGATTCGAAATATATAATATAACATTATTTAAATTTTGTTGCGTCCTGGAATATTCGCGGCGGTAGAGAAATATATAGTTTAACGTCTTAGCGTTGTACGAAGATCCAGCACACAATCAGATAAGTGAGAGGGTGTAGCGTTCAGAAGAGACACCAAAGTTTTTACGTGGAAAACCCCTGAAAAAGAGAGAAAAACCACGAGGCCTGGCCCAGTTTGAATGAATCCACTAGTATTTGTAGTCGATTACAAATGAGGCCCTTCCTTAGGAGAAGGCCTTGGATTGATGTAGCAAATGTACATCATATAGATTGCATTACATGGTAAGAGTTACATATACAGGTTTGTTTGGCCTGAAAGACCGTAGTCAGCAGGAGACCGTAGTCGGCCGGAGACCGTAGTCGGCAGGAGACCGTAGTCGGCCGAAGACCGTAGTCGGCATGAGACCGTAGTCGGCCGGAGACCGTAGTCGGCCGGAGACCGTAGTCGGCCGGAGACTGTAGTCGGCCGGAGACCGTAGTCGGCCGGAGACCGTAGTCGGCCGGAGACCGTAGTCGGCCGGAGACCGTAGTCGGCAGGAGACCGTAGTCGGCCGGAGACCGTAGTCGGCCGGAGACCGTAGTCGGCCGGAGACCGTAGTCGGCCGGAGACCGTAGTCGGCCGGAGACCGTAGTCGGCCGGAGACCGTAGTCGGCCGGAGACCGTAGTCGGCCGGAGACCGTAGTCGGCCGGAGACCGTAGTCGGCCGGAGACCGTAGTCGGAAGGAGACCATAGTCGGCAGGAGACCGTAGTCGGCCGGAGACCGTAGTCGGAAGGAGACCGTAGTCGGCAGGAGACCGGAGTCAGAAAGACCGTTGTCTGTTGATGGAGGTCGGAAGGAGAGATTCATGCCCGATCAAGCTAATTTTGTGATGCCGTATCAAATTTGATACATCATAGTGCAATCATGATAATAAACAATATATTATAATGTTAGAACATGTGGTTTCAATCATCATACACAATGACATGATAGATTGTGATCTTATTCAGAGCCTTATTCAAACACTATTAGAACAATATTTAAATTTTTTTCCAATTACGTTCGAAAGCAAATAAGAAGATATTTCACCAATTAATACTATTATCAGATTCTCATTAAATGTTCAATTACAATTGGAACACATCCAACAATTTTTTTATTAATAAAAAAATTCAACATCAATTCAAGATAAGCTCTAGATAAGTTATAGATATATTTAATTTATTTTGAGATAAATATAATAAATATTATGTCTATTTTTAAATAAATTTAATAACTTAATAATTCATTATAATTAATTTTTCAGTTTTTTTCTAAATATTACTCATTTAAAATTAGTAGGACAGCCTGTCGACCGTAATCCAAAAGGACTGCCTTGATGGATCTCTAGCAGTCAAACAGAACCCACATTAATTAAGCTATAAAATAGAAGAATTTGATCTGAGATGAAGACCGCACTTTGGAACATCCGGATGTTGGACAACGCTCTTCTGATTATATATATATATATATATTTCAGTTCATTCGATTCATGGAAGCGGTTGTGTTATCCAGCGCCTGAAAAGTTTTCTCTTTCCCCTCCCCAATACGAAGAGGCTTCGTTCATCTTCCATCTTCCATCTTCCATCTTCCGAGCTTCTCTAAAATTTTCTGGTTTTTTTAGGGAATCAGAAAGACCGGTGGAAAGGTTTCTTGAGGTATTCGATTAGGGTATTGGCTTTTGAATATGTCGATTTAGTGGAGTTCTCCTTCTTTTGGTTTTCTTTTCAGTTACAAATATATTATTGTTGGTGTTTATTTTCTTTATGAATTGTTAGTGGAGATGATGCGAAGGCGTCTATCGAAGCTCCTTTGGCAGAGTTTGGGATCCCAGCGTTCTAATTATTCGGTAACTTTTTTTTTACCGAAGTGCCTTGATTATGATTATTTCTTCAAATTTTTTACTTTACTCCGAACATGGAATGACTTTGTTTACTGTAATATTGAGGTTGTTACTGGTGAGTTGATGAGTAATTGCTAATTGTTCATAAGGGCTAGAAAGGGCTTAACCTAGTGCATGAAGCTTCTGCAAATGTTGGGATTAGGGAGAGGCCCTTGATGTAGGCAATCTTATCCCTGAATTTACAGAGAGGCTGTTTTCATTTCGTGAAAACAAAAAAGGGCATACCCATTTCTTGATGCTTCCGCCAATGTGCTAGGGAGGAGTTGTTATATGCAGTCTTATCCCTACATTGCATGGAGAGGTTGTTATACCGTTTTTCTAAAGATTAATTATTCTGTGAGGACGCCGAACGCCATCTGGAGACCAACCAAAAAACGTCACGTCACCCGTGCACTTGGTACCGTGGCTCGGTTTCGCCAACGTGACGCATTCTGGGTGATCTCCGAATGACATTCTGTGTCCGGTCTTCGCACAAAATAATTTCTCCTTTCTAAAAGGCCATTAGATATTTGTCATAATGAGATTGAATAGAAGTAAAAGGCTTCCTTTTTTGAAAAAAAGTTTTGCTTTTCTTAGGGGATGTTTAGTTACAAGTAGGATTTAGTAAATCTTAAAAATTCAAATTGAATAAACAGTAAGGAGAAGTGGTAAGTCTCTTAAGTACTATTTTTTTGAGGGTTTACTAAATTTGAGATTTATCCGAAAATGGGATTTAAGAAGGCAATTGAATTTATGTGATTCAAAAAATTATTTGGCAAGATTTAGCCTAAAGCCTATTCAAATCTGAGCTAAATCTTAAATATGGTTTAAATAAAGCTGTTTGCTTTAAAATTATGGTTGCCCTTATTTGTTTTAAAATTGTCTTATTTTATACTTTAAAGTAAGGCATTGTTTGATGATGTGATTCCCAATTATTTACGTTGACTTAAGGATTTTCCTTTTTGATTAGGTTTTAGCAAATTGACCACATTAGTCAAAAAATCATAACTTCCCCTTGAGAGTTAGGAGAAATGTTGTTCGGATGTTTGCTAGTTATTTTATGATGTAGTTGATATGCAATCTCAAGAGTTGAATAATCGTTTCTCTTAGATCAGTGTTGAGTTATTTTTTTTATGCATACATAATATGTTGAAAAGCTTGTAAGCATAGGTCAATTCATCAATCATAATAAAATACAAGATTTTATTTTGAATTATTTATTATCCATTTTATTTTTTAATTATTAATTTATTTACATGATAAATTTGCTCAACCTTAAAGGGGTGGTTGGTTTCACCCCTATCTTCTGGTTCACTTTAGGCTACACTCAGTGAACTTAACTTAAAATGATTTAAAATACTTTGTGATTATTTATTGATCTGCTCAAACAGGTGGAGGCTTTAAGGTTTAACTTAGATGGTGTGACCAACTGTCCTTTCAAAAGCAGAAATAATGATATTCGGAGTACTAACTGTGATGGACCAGGCTGCCCAAAGGTAATGAGATATGCAACTTCATGCGCCACATGGTCAGAATTATCACAAGAAGCTCACCCTGCTTCTGATATGTTAGTTGATTCATTTGGGAGGTTCCATAATTATTTGAGAATTTCTCTAACAGAGCGCTGCAATCTTAGATGCCAATATTGCATGCCTGTAGAAGGCGTTGAGTTAACACCAAATTCTCATTTATTAAGTTCTGATGAAATAATTCGATTAGCCAATCTTTTTGTCAATTCTGGAGTAGATAAGATCCGCTTAACAGGGGGAGAGCCAACTATTAGGAAAGACATTGAAGAAATATGCCTCCAACTTTCTCGCTTGAAAGGATTGAAAACACTAGCGATGACTACTAATGGAATTGTTTTAGCAAAGAAGATCCCGAAGTTAAAAGAGTGTGGACTCGGTGTGATAAATATCAGCCTAGATACATTAGTTCCAGCAAAGTTTGAATTGTTGACAAGGCGTAAAGGACATGAAAGAGTCATGGAGTCCATCACTGCTGCGGTGGAGTATGGATTTAATCCTGTTAAAGTATGCTATTGCCTGTTCACGTTTTCTTTCAGTCTTCTCCACACAAATTAAATCCGCCATTATTTTATGACTTCCCCTACCTCCTAATACTTGGGAAAATGTTGGTGTAAAACGCACTTTGCAGGTCAATTGCGTTGTAATGAGGGGAATAAATGATGATGAGATTTGCGACTTTGTGGAATTGACTCGTGAAAAGCCAATTAATGTGAGATTTATAGAATTTATGCCATTCGATGGAAATGTGTGGAATATTAAAAAGTTAGTTCCTTATGCTGAGATATTGGATAAAGTGGTAAGGTAAATTTGAATTTTATATCTGTTTATCATTATAGCGTCAATGAACATTTATCCACATGATGAGAATAGGACTTGAATTTTTTTATTGGATCAGAAACAACGATTTGAAGGTGTGAAAAGGCTTACAGATCATCCTTCTGATACAGCCAAGAACTTCATGATAGATGGTCATCATGGAACAATCTCATTTATCACATCAATGACTGACCATTTCTGTGCTGGTTGCAACAGATTGAGGCTATTGGCTGATGGAAACTTGAAAGTGTGCCTCTTCGGTCCATCTGAGGTATGTCAGAACATTTTCATTCATTTTATTGGTTTTTTGGATAAGCTCATTGCGCTATTTTTATTCAGTCATTCCTATGTGCTGTTGCAACTCTTTTGTTTGAAATAATCGTCTCAATTATCTGCAACTTGAAATCGACAAGTGAAAATTCAAGAAACATTCTTTAGCATGTTTCAAAGAACCATGCAATATGACTGAGTACATTAGAGACCATTCATGATATCAAATACTTCATTTGCAAATGTGTATATCATCAGACTATTTTGTTAATTGGTTTGTGCAACAAGGCATGGTCGCTTCAGCCAGTCATAGCATACAGATGTATGGAATATATCAACTTACGGAAAATTTATTTAATATTTTTATAAACTAAAAGTAATGGAAAAAGAAGGAATACGAAAAAATAATATAATAATAAAACGTCCCTTATCTTGCCTTTGGAATGCTTATTATATTGGACTATATAATATCACAAATAGTGCAGAAAAGTAGATATATATAAAAGAATTAATTTTTTTGCTTACTTTTTATATAAGGATTGGAGGTATATATTGGCTCCTCCAAGGATGTTAAATATGGAAATAAATCAATGTTAATTACACAAAATAAAATAAAAATTCTAAAAAGGGTGGCCGACAGTTATGTGGAGAAGAGGACTATGCGAATTGAAATCTAAGGGCTATGAGGGAGAAGATCCAATGGCTAAGCTCCTTAATCCGTGTGCTCAAGAATTTGTATTATGATGAGTAGCATAGTGAGGCTCGCAGATTCCAACCCTATGGTAAAAATAGTTGTTTGATGTGTGGAGGCGGAAGAGTGGGTCCCACGGTCTTCTGCACCACCTAGACTGTAAGATCTACCATTCTAAGTTGCAAACAATGTTTTTAAATGTTAGATTATCGAATCATTTGGTGAATATGCTAGTGAGTTAACTCCCAGTTGGCTCATATAAAGTGCAGATTAACCCACTTTCTAATTTTTCTCTATGAATTGTCTATGAGCCTCCACATATTTGGTGTTATCGTGTTGTACTGGATTATGATCAATTCTGATGAAAGATTTATTATCATAGTATATTTTCGTATATTATCCTACTTTTTACAGGGAATTACTTTTTGGAACCTTAATTTAAGGTTAATGAGCACTCTAAAATCTTTAAGGCCGAATTCGTTATGCTTGTGCATATATTGAGTGATGAGACTCGTCGTGAATGGGATGCCTGGATGGGTGTGAGATAGATTAGTTAATTTTTCAACTAATATTTGATATTATCGTCTATTTCTATCCCTTCTTCATCGCTGTCCAATTTCTGACTTGATTCAATTGGGGTTTTACAAGATTTATAATTAGTCATTTTTGTTTCTTTTGACAGATTTATGACATATTTTTGTTGAAAGAGAAATATTCCTTGTTCTAATTGAGTGACTTTTATATCTAAAAATTATTTGAGTTTGTCCAACTTCTTTATCTAAAATTCTCCATCAAGTGTTTTCCTGAGAGACTCCTTTTCATTAATGTTATCACATGTAACAATTATATCATGAACATATAAAATGAGAATTCAAAACTTATCGATTAGTGGATTATTTTATGAAAGTGTATAATTTCTGTCTTTATTTATATCCAGCTCTAATCATGATTTTTGTAAATCTTTCAAACCATACCCTTAGAGATTGTTTAAATCCATATAGAGTCTCCTTTAATTTGTACATTTTATTTTTTGTGAAAGATCTATTGAAACCCGATGGTAGATCCACATAAACTTTTTCTTCAACATTTCCATGTATGAAAGAATTATTTGCATCATATTATTATATAAACCACCTAGATTAGCAACTACAAAAATTAGAATGCAAATTGTATTCATTTTTGCAACAAGAACAAAAGTTTATTTATAATCAATTATATAAGATTTAGTATATTCTTTTACTACTAATTTTACTTTATGTTGTTGTAAATTCTCGTATGCACTATATTTTACCATAATAAATCACTTGCGTTCTTCAATTTTCTTTCCTTTTGATAATTTGGCGATTTCTCAAATGTGATTTTTTTTCTAGGGCATTTATCTTTCTCTCATGACTTCTTCTGATTCTTATTTTCAGGTGTCTCAAGTTTTATGGTATTGTAATGAAATTGGAATAGATATTTGTAAGGAATGTTGATGTGATACAAACATGAATTGCAAGGAAATAATAAAATTATTATAAGCTTGCCATTTTAAGATTAATGATCCACAATAATTAATTTTAAGAACTCTCGATTGACGTTTTGCTTTTGCATGTAGTTACAATTTTAGGAGAACGGAACAACTTAAAATAATATCAGAAAAAAAATACAATAAAACTAAATGTGACGTAATAAGAATCCACAGTTTAATATTTAGAGCTTTTCACCTAGAGTTTTCTTTCTCACTCACATTCTATGAGAGACTTTAGCGGAGAAAGACTTTCAGCAATCCAAATGACTCCACCAAGAAAGTTAGGAAGCCGACGGTCTTTATCCACGGAAAGGTAGTCGAAGGAGGCACAGGTGGACGTCCGACAAGTTGCTACTGTCTGGAGGGTTGTTGTTTGTTAATAGTCTCGGCTAGGTGGAAGAGTATATGGTCGACGTAATCTTCTAACTCCCAGTTGAGGTCGAAGAATGGCGACTGATGGAAATCAATTTATTCTTGAGAATCGTACGCGAATCCGTGGTCGACTTCAGGATCAACCATCCATGAATATGGGAGACTCCTTTATTGGGATCCTTAGAGGAGCTGACGGCTTGTTATGGGATAAGGGAGAGGAGGAGCCCGCGGTTGGTGTTCGGGTAGAGAGGGAAAGAGAGGGGAACGGCTAGGGTTTATGTGGGAACTTCTTGGGTTTAGGGCTAGGGAGGTGGAAGAGATGAATTAGAAAAATCTGAATTTAATTTCAGATTTTTCCAAGGGAGGGAAAGGGATTAATTTGAATTCCAAATTATCCCAAATTGGGCTATAGGGGTCGGCGGCTTAGGAGGGAATTATGGGGGAGTTTAATTGGGGCTAGGGATTAATTGTAGAGAGTAAAGGTAATGGTAAGGGGGGTGGCCATATGAAGAGGGAGAAAGGGGTCTAGATTCAATGTATGTGGGCCATATGCATTAATTGGAGATTGGAATTAAATCTGAATTTAATTTTATATTTAATGTAATTGGGGAGGTTTCCTAATTAAGGATCATCAAAGAGGAAAGTATTTGAAATTCCAATATATAATTGATTTGAAATAAATACACTTTTCAAATTGATATGAGTTATTTTAGGAAAGGAATTAAAGGGAATTTGAATTTTGAAATTCAAAATTCATGGGGCATTTGGAGGGGCGGCCGGCGGCAAGGGGCCAAGGGGAGGCCGGCGGCGATGGGCTTTGGAGGGGTGGCCGGCAGCTAGGGGAGCCAACAGGAGGCTGGTGGCTATGGGACGGGGAGGGACTCGGTTAGGGAAGAAGAGGAGGGGAAATTGGGGGAGAGCAGGCCGGTGGATGGGGAAAAGGTGAGGTGGCCGGATGTACGGAGGGGGAAAGGAGAAAGATGAGCCGCGAGTCTCAGACTCTTCCAAAGACTGAAGGGTATTGCAATCACCCTCACCTAGGATTCTCTTTCTTCTCTCAAAACTCACAACAATGAAGAAGAGAAAAGCTCAAAATTTTATTCATCAAATCATCATCCCAAATACAATAGAAGGGGCCTTTTGATATAGGCCTCAACATGACAAAAGAAAAAGGACTGCAATGCCCATTTGGCTACAATAGCAAACTAACTACCCATAGGGATAAGATAGGAAAAACTGAAATATAAAAATAAACAATATATAAAATGCATAAAAAAATAAAGGCTCCTGATCGTGGCTGTTGATCTCGGAAGCCTTCTCTGATAAACACGCTAAAATCTCTTGCTGATATCCTTATCAAATATCTTATGTGCAGGGGAATAATTTTTTTAAAGAATGTGTATTGGGACATAAGATAATAGGGATTTTTTTCATCCCCAATGGTTGAAATATTTGATGTTCGAGTACGATATGAAAATAATATATTATCCTGAATGATAAAAATATTCTTTTGATATGGACTCAGTAATATAGATTGCATTTTTATTTGATGCTTGGAATTTTTTTCCTACATAATAGATTTGATTGAATATGATAAGTGAATTGAATGAGACTTACGAACTTGAAACCTCACCCAAGATAGCCCAAACTCTGGTCTTACAATACTACCTAAAAAGACTGGCCAGCTAAACTCATCCAAGTATTTTTAAAATCATATAAGTTTGGCCTTAATACATATGTAAGACATGTTAGACTATTTTGAATTTAGAAAAGCAGATTTACAACTTTCTCATTTAAGCTAAAATGTTTGATCGTGAGAGCATGCACATGCTAACTCACAATGCAATTTATTGTTATCTAGTCTTTAATGTGAGGACTTTGTTTTTATATGAGACTCACATGACTATATATATGATGTTCATCAGTTAAGTACATGGGTTTGATGTTGATTTATAAGCACACATTTATAGATAAACAACCACTCAAATGCCGAGTTGCAAATTATTATCCATAAGAACGTTTTGGATTTCATTTAATTAGAAAAAGTTAGCTTATTCTCATATAAGTTATGCAATTTTATTTGGAAAATATTATCTTATTTGTTTTAATAAAAAGAAATTTAAAGTAAACAAGCAATCAAGTATAAAAGAAATCAACTGCAAAATAATATACAAGTCTTTTATTACAGTAAAAAAAAAAATAGTTGAGTTGCCTGTCTAATGCAACTTAGTTAAATTTAGATTTGGCCTATGAATCTGTAAGCTTTGACTCTGATGTGTCTTGGTCTTCAATTTGAGATTCTTTTTTTTTTTTTTTTTTTTTTTTTTTTTTTTTTTTTTTTTTTTTTTTGTTCATCGTTCCTTTAGCTGTTTTACATTGATGTACATGATGTTCTAACTCTATAATTATACTTGAAAAGTAAAAAAATGGACTTTTCCTTGCAAGTCAAATGTTAGGAAACATGTAATATGTAATAAGTTTAATCACAAATTACTTGACATTTATACTGTCAAACTAATTTCCATCCGGTTGGTCATGCATGCTAAAGGCTTTTCGCTTAAAAACAATATTTTAAAGTAAGTTATATTAAATGATAATTATTTAATTATTTTCTTGTTTTTAGTATGGACACCTTCATAAAAACCAAAGATATATCTATCCTGACACTTAAGGGTAATTGCTCACAATATAGACAATCCATCAATCATTTCACACCAATCATCACAATCATATGAATAGAAAAAGAAAAATTCATAATCCTAGGATGTCAAAGGGATTGTGGATCTAGTGTGTGCTGGCTCATGTGATGTGACACTATGATTGGATGCTTTGTTTTATTAAGGAGTAGGAAGATAGTTAATTTTAATCCTAGGATTGTTTTATTTTAAGTTATTTGTGACTTAAGCTTTTATCTAGATTTTAAATGTATTTTATATTCTTTAAAGGTTATGAAGAACTCGTGGGATGACCTTTTTTTTTTTTGAGGCAAATCTATCATTCATAGAATCCTAAGATCCAATGACATTGACATTCCACCTTTTGGGATAGAATGACACCTCATTATATCAAATGAAGCCTTAGTGTTTTTTATGGATTTTAGTTACTCTTAATATTTTATAAGAGAGAGAGGTTTGTTGAAAATAGTAAAGTAAACTTGTTTAAGGGTTTCATTTAGGAATTGGTGAAATTATTTTCATTGGGTAAGATGAATTTCAAATAAAGGCTCTTAAAACATACTTGTATGTTTGAGTTTTTAATTTTATGTGGAAGATGAGATCATTTATTTTAGCTAATTGATGAAAATCTAGAGTTTAGGTCTATATAAAGAGACTACATATTTGATTTGGTCAAGATGATGAGTTATAAGCACTATTCATGAAGAAAAATGACTCCTAAAAAGGTTTATATTTCTAAAGACTGTTTTGGATTCATTAAAATAGGAAGGATCAATCCTATGACTTTGGGAGCAAGGATTTAGGTTTCGTTTGGGACGGCTTTTTTATTGCTTCTTAAAGCAGCTTTCTAGTACAAAAAATTTAATTTTTATACTAAAAGCTGCTTCAAGAAGCAGAAAAAAAGCTGTCCCAAACGAAGCCTTAATTTTATATCAAAGGGCTTTAGAAGTACATGGAATGATTTTGAGTTTTAGAAAATTTTCAAAGCTCTAGATTTTTTATTATCTCATTTAATTATTTAATTTAAAAATGAATAAATAAGCGTAAATAATTCAAAAATAAGATGTAATACAACTTATGGATCTTTGAGGGTCCATAAAATACCCCAAATTAGTTTCCCAAACCTCTATAATTAAATGAGCATATTTAATGATTTTTCGAAATTTTAGGAAAGTGAGAGCCCTAGCAAAAAAGGGCCCGCCACATTAACATAACATGTACTAGTCAAGTGCATAGTCATTGGTTTGGGATCCAATGACTACGAATAGGGTGAAGGATGGCTCCAATCTGAATGCATTTTCATTCATTTGGGGACACAAATCCCATAAATCGGTGCATTGTCACCCATTTCTTTGAGTTCTCAAATGAGAAAAACCAATAGGAAATCACGCTATTTCTATGGGTTTACGAGAAGGGCAACAAAGGATGTACGTTGAAATTCTAATTTAAGGGTGATCTAAATGGACCTAAGGCTCATGGAGGTTGCCATAGACACAATCATAGCCATACGACCTAGATTACCTAAGCTGAAGAATGTACCTCATTGGAGCTAACCCAATGTTTTTCAGCCGTAGTACTTTCATCTAGAAGAGATAAAAGCAATGAGAAGCAGAGTCTTATGATTTACTGGAGCTTGAACCGCATATTTAATGACTTGCAGTAAAGTGCACATTTTACTGTTCTACATTAGAATATGTAAAGTACTAATTGAGCCAACTTAAACATCTTAGAATTTTCGTGCACTTTTTATCTGATTGTTTTACAACACTTCAGATGCTGAAATTTCCATTTACCTCTCATTCCTCATGAAATTTACAACTCTATTTTCACTTCGTTTGATATTGTCCTTAAAACTCACTGTCATGCTACTGATGCACTCTAATTATGCTTCCGCTCAAAATTTTATGGAGTTATGAGGTCACGGGTTAGCTATAGGCAACTATCAAAATTAGAAATTTCGTGTTTTAGACTGTCATGTATCTTTTATTACAGTTCATTTATGTGTGACTTCCAGGTCAGCTTAAGAGATCCACTTCGTGCTGGTGTTGATGATCTTGGACTAAAGGAGATAATTGGAGCTGCGGTATGAATTTATCTGCTTCATATCTTGTTATGCTCTCTTGTAGAAGTTATTCTTCAGTGATTTTTTTAGCATATTGCCTGCCATAAATTTGCAGCATGATCTATTCCTTTGTATTGTACGAATATGCATTTTATGTTGGATGACTAAATAGAATTGCACTTGAAACTATACGTAGTAATTTTCTTGGTGCTTTTTCTGTTTTTCCTATTTCATATCACGTTCTTAATTTAGGATTCGTTTGGTATTGCTACATTGGACCTGAATTTTGAACAGAAAAATTTGAAGGAACTTTCTTATAACAGCTTCTCAACCTCTATTATTATATAAAGGAGAAGTTCAAGCGATGAGGCCTTGGAATTATTTTTTGTGCTCCCGACTAACTTTTGCTCTTTCTCAATATCCGTTTAGATGGGAGCATGAGCTTAATCTTTAATTTATGTAGTTAATGTGTCATTATAATAATTGTTATTGCTGTTGTTTAGGTGAAGAAAAAGAAAGCTGCACATGCTGGAATGCTTGACCTTGCAAAGACAGCAAATAGACCTATGATACATATTGGTGGCTGAGGTATACTATCATCATTATTTCCATTTTTATATTTACGTTTTCTTAAGAAGGCTTGTCTTTTGTGCAATGAAAATGAGAGGACAATCTGCTTAAATTGGAACCTGTTATGGTCTCGGCTGATTCGAGCTAGCTCAATTGCTCTAGGAAGGTGTGATAGAACTGGTGGAATAGAAATAGCTGAATAAGCAGAAGCCAAAAAAAGAGAAGAAAAGAGCTGTGAGGAAGAAGGTCTAAGTTCATTCATTGATTCTCAAAGTTTAGGCCATAAGCTATTTGCTGTCATGTATCTTTATGACAGTTCATTTATGTGTGACTTCCAGGTCAGCTTAAGAGATCCACTTCGTGCTGGTGTTGATGATCTTGGACTAAAGGAGATAATTGGAGCTGCGGTATGAATTTATCTGCTTCATATCTTGTTATGCTCTCTTGTAGAAGTTATTCTTTAGTTATTTTTTTAGCATATTGTCTGCCATAAATTTGCAGCATGATCTATTCCTTTGTATTGTACGAATATGCGTTTTATGTTGGATGACTAAATAGAATTGCACTTGCAACTATATTTACTAGTTTTCTTGGTACTTTTTCTGTTTTTCCTATTTCATATCACGTTCTAATTTAGGATTCGTTTGGTATTGCTCTTCCATTACGTGCATTTGTGGTGGTGTTGCATCCCAGGAGTAAAGCAGGCTACATTGGACCTGAATTTTGAAAAAAAAAATTTGAAGGAACTTTCTTATAATAGCTTCTCAACCTCTATTATCAGGAAAATTATTAGGTGCGGACACCGGACGTAGAGGTACATCCGGACTTCAATAAAATGCCAACACGTATGGTGGACATGTGGACATTCAATTGGATTTAATTTTTAGTTTATATATTTAATGTGTTTGTGGAACTTTAAGCCAAGCGCACCAAAAGCATAGATGAAGCGCAGAAAAAAAACGTAACAAAAGAGCAGTCAAAGCGCAACTAAGGCACAGGTAAAGTGCAGGTAAAGCCCAGTCAAAGCGCAGTAAAAAAACGCATCAAAAGAGCAGTCAAAGCGCAATTAAAGCGCAGATAAAGCAACCAAAGTGCACTCGACGTCAAATTTTAAGTGGATGTTCGGACGTATCTCTGCGTCCGGTGTCCGCACCTAATAATCCTATTATCATATAAAGGAGAAGTTCAAGCGATGAGGCTTTGGAATTATTTTTTGTGCTCCCAACTAACCTTTCCTCTTTCTCAATATCCGTTTAGATGGGTGCATGAGCTTAATCTCTAATTTATGTAGCTAATGTGTGTCATTATTATAATTGTTATTGCTTTTGTTTAGGTAAAGAAAAAGAAAGCTGCACATGCTGGAATGCTCGACCTTGCAAAGACAGCAAATAGGCCTATGATACATATTGGTGGCTGAGGTATTCTATCATCATTATTTCCATTTTTATATTTACGTTTTCTTAATAAGGCTTGTCTTTTGTGCAATGAAAATGAGAGGACAATCTGCTTAAATTGGAACCTGTTATGGTCTCGGCTGATTCGAGCTAGCTCAATTGCTCTAGGAAGGTGTGATAGAACTGGTGGAATAGAAATAGCTGAATAAGCAGAAGCCAAAAAAAGAGAAGAAAAGAGCTGTGAGGAAGAAGGTCTAAGTTCATTCATTGATTCTCAAAGTTTAGGCCATAAGCTAATTTATAACCATTTTTTCTCCACAACAACTGATCATTAATACGGCAGGACAAAACAATCGTTCACTATCCTAACGACCTTAATGAAATAAGCCAATGGCAATAATTTTTCCATAAAAGTTATGATGATTTGTGGATATTATACAAGAATTTGTAATAAGAAGTGTTTACACAAAAAAACCAGTTTTTAACAGGAGATAAGACCTCATATGGGAATACATAGTGATAATGGCTTCCCATAAAGCTGTTGTATACGAAATATTTCCTTTGGTTTCTATGTTATGAGCAACTTGTAACAAATAATTGCAAAAATAACCTGTAATTCTGATGTATTCAAAGAATCACAACAAATAAAAAAGGGCCTATAGGAAAACTTATAGCCTGAAAATATCAATTATTTGAAAACAATTTTTTAAGGTGTCTTTTACATTAATAATCTTAAATCTTTTGTTCAAATTTAATTCTCTTGATTTTGTTGCTGAGATTTGAGGATCATTTTAAGACCTCTGAATAAGGTGTTTCAAAAATTTACACACGTCCATGCAAGACTTTTGATAGGAAACACTTGAAGATTTCAAGTAAATCCTATCAATTTCAGAAAACAACGAGAAAACTCTTCCAAACTCCAAATGAAAAATCAGAAAAATAGAAATTTTATTGTGATAATCAAACTAACAGAAGAAAAAATAACAAGATACAATTGATCTTGTATTCGAGAGGAGGATCTATCTCTCCCAAATCTCTAGACGCTGCTAGAGCCCAAAAGAAAACCTAAATCTATGAGATCTCAAATTTCAACCAAATTCAAGACGTCCTAACCCTAGGAAAATAAACTATTTAATGCATACAATCCAAAAGGAAATCTCTAAACAGTCCCTACATTCAAATTCCCCTCCTAAATCCCTCAAAAATCTTTCCTAAACCACTACATGGGATCCGGCGGTTCGGTTGGTAGTACAAAGAGGCGGAAAAAAGTCCGGTTGTATTTTGCGTGATCCAGTCCATACGGGGTTGGGCTGGTCCAATGGACCGGTCTAACAATTTTGCCGAGTAGCAACCCTTTTTATTGGTTTTACAGTATGGAAATGTTGCTTCTCCACTGCTTTTCAAGTTGTCACGCAACGATTTGATTTGACTTGGAAACACACATTGGAACTTAATACTTTTGTGTGTGTACCCCACGGCAGTTAAGCAGCAGCTAGTCCATCTTATGAGAGTTGCAATTATTTTTTTTCTTTCATTACAATACAACATCACTGTTGACCTGCTTACTATATCCAATGGAAAACAACAAAAAAGGGGGCTCAAAATCATACCTTGCCCGACGGATCCCAGAATTCTGCCGAAATCCTCCGCAAAACACGCCTGAAATCTCGTCAAAATCCCTGTGCATTCGGCACAGTTAGCATCTCCTCGCGGGATTCCCGTATGAAGCTCCTCGTTCGTTGTTCTCCGAGGCCTTTAAAAGCAACCAAACCCCTCCTCTTCGGCTGCTCACGATCTCTGCTTCTCACTCGCCTCTTCCATTCGCTGCTCTGTCCCGAAGCATCTCCCCTCTCCGACACCTTGCTCTTCCTCCCGTCAAACCCGAACTCCACCTCTTCCTGTGCCGACCCCAAGCCGAGAGAGAGAGAGAGAGAGAGAGAGAGAGAGAGAGAGAGAGAGGAAGAGATCATTCTCCTTACCTGTGCAACCCGACGCCCCATCCACGACTCCTCTCTGCTTGCCGAAGCCGACTCCTCCCTCTACCCTTGCCCGATCTCCTAAACCGACCCATTAGGTATAGTTATTATTATTATTATTATATTTAATTAAATTAATTATAATTAAATATTTAATTATATTTGATATAAGCTTTTCTTAGCGTGCTAGGATGGGAATCTGGTGTGACGTATACGATGAAGTAGGGATATCCATAAGTACCCGCTTGAGGGAAAATAATTGTTTTTCTTTTGTAACAGGTACCGAAGACCCATACACGCCTTTCTCTGGCGTGGTGGGGAATAAAAATTATTACGGCCGCGGTGCCCTCTTTTGAGGGCACCTATCGTGCACGCTTTTCTCTAGCGTGGCGGGAGGCTCAGTTTTCTGTAGTTTTCCCCTAAACGGGGGGAGACGTCGGAAGGCTGCCGAAATTTCGGGTAAATGCAATTTGTACTTGGGACAATTTGGAGCTTTACTTGGACATTGATTGGAGCATCAAATGGACTTAATTCAAACTCAAACAATCTAATAACTTCAAGTGCAAGCGAAACAAAGAATGGCTCGAATTCAAGTGAACTACAGGGGACTTATGAACTCGGACCAGATTGAACAACAGTGAACAATTTGAACATGCAATCAAACTTGCAAAGAAGCAGAGAACTTATAAACAAGGATAGAACTTAAATGATCTCGAACTCAAAAGAGAACAAAACTTGGATTGAACTTGCAAATGACTACAAGAGCTCAAACTTGAATTAATTTGTGGACAATAAAAAAACTTGTAATTTTGTAAAGTTATTACTTCAAATGAAATCCAAGTCAAGAACCAAATGACAACAATCAATGACATGAAGTTTCCCATAAAATTAAGAGTCCCCATGGAGATGCCAACTAGCAATAATGCAAAGATCTTCAAATAAGTAGCCCCCTCGATCATTTAAATGTATTCAAATCAATGCCATACATTGAAGTGAGAATTCATGCATAAGCCCCTTACACTTGTGAGAGTCATGTGGATTAGAATAAAGACATTGAGGATAATATCAAGTTCCTTACACTTGCCATAAATCAATTTTGAAGGCCAAGAACTCGCAAGTGGGGATTTGGTTGCAAATAAGAAGAAGATTGTGAAGTTATGATATGGGGGCTATTAGAACCTATGAGATCATTCACAAAATCAAACATGACTTGTCTCCAAGCAATAACCAGTAAGAATCATCATTTCAACTCAATGGTTATCGTACAAGAGCTCCAATAGATGATAATATTGAATGAGTTATGAATATAGTGATACATTTACAAACAATACATGAAGGTATAACAACCTCTATACGAGGTTAAATTGCAAGCATATGTGTCAAATAACCAATGAGCTATAATGCACGCAATAGATAGCTCATAAAAGTGGCGATCATGCAGAATGCATAATGGAAGTGTTAATCCATGAAGAAAGGCTCATGGGTATTGTAAATCTACAAAAGGAGCTACTAACAAAGATATAAGTGAATGTAATAGATCATCAATCAACTTGAAGGCAGATAATGATGGCGGACAAAGATTTACAATATATATGGGCATTTACAAACAAATGTAGATGACATTTCATGTATTCATCAGTCCATCTACGAATGACAACGAACAAAATACAGAAGACCTTCAATAAGTGCAGGCTCTTACGAGTCGTTGCAGGAAATTTGTTGTACCCAAAGTACACGATCTGCAAGAAAACATGAAACAATTATAATGAATGCAGTCATCAACAAATGTAAAGCAGGAGATTAGCTTGTGTACTACAATCTACCTGTTTAAATCGTACAAGTAGTGCACGACAGTCTACCTGTACAAAGCAGCAAACAACTGATCTAGAAGCTACTACGCCACGCCACCGGATCCGCAACGTTCTTGGAGGCGGACAGAAGGCGTTTCACCAATATTTCAAGAATATCCTCACATGTGCACCGTAGTTTGTATACACATATGTACACTAAAAAGGGTAAATACAATCTCAACCCGCATGGGCCCCGGTGAGCGTGTTATTGGTACACACGTGACGTCTAGGGATGCTGCGCGGGTTGACAAGTGAATTCAAGTTCGAAACCGATCCTTCTATACGGGTCAATAGAAGTTGATAGGGTTCGAACCAACAAACAAATATACGGTTGTGGCGACCGTCATATTTATCTTAATACATTCATATTAGGCATTCAATTCCTACAATCAAGAGAATTCACTGATCAAAGGCACAAAGCCTACGAGAAACCTGATCCTCTGTTGACAGCTAGACAGAGTCGACAAGGTTCAAGCTTTAAATGGAAATGCCCCCCAAACACCTCGATGATGGCCGTGTTGATTTCTTATCTCAACTGAAGGGGTTCACAAAATATTTCAAAATGCCCTCAAACTTCTACAAAATTCAAATATTTTTCAAGTGACCTTGAGGTCACCCCGATGATGGCCGTGTTGAATGCAGATCTCAATCAGAGGGGTTCCCAAATATTTTTAAATATCTCCCAAATATTTAAAGTTCATTTCAAATATTTCAAAGATCCACCCAAAATATCCATAAAAATCCAAAAATTCAAAACTCCACAAAAATCCCAAAAGTCCAAAAATGTTTAAAATTGAAATAAATCCATCAACACTTAAAGCAAAGCCCATCCACCCTTCACAACAGTCTGCCGGGGTGGACAAATTCAAATAAACTCTAGCTCATAAAGAGCCAAATGCCTAGTCGAAAATATCACTATGATTCATTCTCAAACATTCTCTTGCCAGTAAGGACGTGGTACGTGTCCTCTAACCGGCAGTTTCGCCGCCAAATGGCACTGCATGTAAACGGTTATGACCCGGGGCCCTCTGAACCGAGTGGTTTTGCCGACAAATGGCACCACAGATAGCGGTTATGGGCAGAGCCAATACGCTCCTTAGTGGCGTTAAATCCTTGAGATATGAATCAATAGGATATGATTGATAGGGCACAAAGCCCTCTGTCAGCTAAGATGGATTTAAATTTGTCCCCTTAGACAAACATTCAACCCCGGTCTACAAGATCTCCTTGAACGAAGCAACCCATGGCTACCGACAAGGATCCTTCTGTCAGGTTGGGTCGACTACCTCCTCTGACTAAGTAGACCAGGGACCACGATGGCCCGGGACGACGGAACCATGGGATCTTGATCGGGTCTATCATCCATTCCCCCACCATCCGCTTTAAGTGAACGATGGTGAAATTTCTATTTTAAATATCAAACTTTTCGAACCTTTTCAAATGCTCAAATTCAAACCAAAATCCCAAATCCAAACCCAATTTCCAATTTTCATACCCAATGCTGCTACTATATGCCAGATAACACGTATTTATACGTATCTGATTGACGACTAGCCTTAATCGAAAGTTCTCTCTCGTGATCGAGAGGGGTAATTAACTATAGGGGCTTGCGCTTATAGGAAACCAGAACTCAGATCATAAAGTCCTCACAAATGAGGGTGAAATCTCTAGGTAGTGTCTTATCTACAAACCCATCTGCCTTCCAAAATTTACCTCGGAACTTATTCAGTTAAAATTCCCTCGCCGAATAAAAAGAAAGCGCGAGCGGAGGCCGGGGCCGAATTTTCGGAGCCCACAATCACCAAATGCAGGCTTTTTTGGATAATAATATTCATCTTCTTTTATTTGTAAAGGTTTGACACTAATTATTTACCTTTTCAAGAAACTTTAGATGGAAAATGCTATATTGCATAAACTCCTTCATAATTTCACAATTATATACGATACACTCGCAATGCAGCTTGTCCAGCTATGTGAGAGTAGCAACGACATATAATATGTAGCTTGTAAAACTTTATTATGCACTTTAGCAATAAGTTCATTGCTGGTAAATAATGTTTTTTTTTTTAAGATGATATAAATTTCTGTTCTTATTATATCGATCATGTGAATATTGGACTTTCTTTAGGTCATTTTTTGCTTTCAATGGCTGAACAACTCTCTTCATTCTTGCTTCAGATGCTCAGAAGACAATGTTTCGTCAAAGATCTGCTGTGTAAGTTTTGTAGATTAATATCTGCATGCCAGAATTAAGATGCTCCCATCAGAAGCGCACTCATGCATTATAATGAACATTAGCCCATAGATATATATATAGAGAGAGAGAATAATCAAAATGATTCACTGGCTCTTTATAAAAGATCAAAGTAGTATCCATTAATATTAAAAGACTATTTTGATCCGTCAACTACTTAAAGAGGAACCAAAATAGTCTCACTATGAGGCTATTTTAGTTCTTTTTTAAGAGCTTGAGAGACCATGACGATCTTTTAATATAGTTGGAGACTATTTTGATCATTCATAAAGAATTAAGGAATCAATTTAATTCTTCTCTCTCTCTCTCTCTCTCATAGCCAAAAAAAATTGATATGTTATTAGCATCTTTCTTATATTTATTTATTGCTTTGGACAAGATGCTGCCCTTGTAAGATTGCTGAGATTTATTTTTTTGGCCTTTACATCCTTTGATTCTGTCAAAAAAAAAGAATTTGACAATGTACTATATTTGTGCAACAGCTGCGGAGGCACTGGCAAAGGATTTCTTCTCCAATCGCTTAACCAGTGCTTGAGGAACATAGTTAACAATTGTGAATATTTGTTTTGTTCGCTGGCCTACAAAAGAAAAAAGCTATGTTTTACTTTGTAGCAGATACATTGAAGAAATAAATCACTTGAAAGACAATGACTTTGTACCCTCTGATTACTACAAGCACATTTGTGAATGCGGCTAATTCAAAGAGAATCAAATTTGAATTATTTTTGTGCTCTTGATGATAGTTAAACTAAAATGTGTGTGTGTATTTTATTTATTTATTATTATTTTTTTTTTTTTTGAGCTGAACGCCTTCTTGTGATTATTTAAGTTGGTGGTCGATATCCCAAGCAAATTGGGGGCATAGCCCAATTCATTAACCATAAAAGGAGGATACATAATAACAAAGATTAAAATGCAAAAACTGAAGCTGCATTAAAAAAAGAACAAGTTCATAAAATTAAAAAAAAAAAAAATTAACTAACAGTTAAGAGGGGAAAAGCCAAAGGAAACATGAAAAATAGAGACTAAAGCTTGATTTGGGATTGCTTTCTTATTGCTTCCTAAGGTTTAGCTTGGACTAGTTTTCATCGTGCTTTTTAAAATAGTTTTTTAGTATAAAAATTAAAAAAATTTAACTAAACTAAAAAATCGTTTTAAAAAGCAATAAAAAGCCGTCCCAAATGAAGTCTAAGGCTTCATTTGGGATGTTTTCTTTCTGCTTCTTAAATAGTTTCTTAGTAAAAATTATTTTAAAAAGCAATAAGAAAAAAGACTGCATATTAAAAGAGTTTCATCGTCCAAGGCATACTAAAATCCCACCAGATCAGTGTAGAAAATGTATACACGAAAAGCAGCACCTCCAGTAAAAGCTGAGTGAGCAAAACAAATGGCAAAAACGATACAATTATATATATATATGGCAATGCTGTGTTGTGATATTGTATGGGCATTCATATAGAAATCTTTTGGTATGGCTTTGATTTTTTTATTTCATAACTTGTGCAGTTGATGAAAATCTGTGTTCATTTTACCCTGAAGTATTCCCATCTAGTGATGATTTAAACAAAATTTATCTACTTTTTATTTAGATTATTTATTTTATTTTAAAATTTGTCTAAGACTCTATACTGTTGTTGTCAGGTCCCAATTTTTTGATAAAAAAATGGAGGGTTCTAGTAGGAAGTTGGCAACTAACGTAAAACTTGTCAAATAATCATAATATGAATTATTTAATACATTATATTATTGCTAGGACATTCCCTGGAAGCGACGCGCTATATAGCTTGAATATGGCCTGAAAATAGCAAGAGGTGTGCAAAGGCCGCTGTACCGGTGCCTAGGCGCAATGTTAAGTAGGCAATGGTACGGTTGTCATTTTATGGACAAATATGGACAAAAGAAGCTAGTCTGTGATAATAGAATTATGATAGAATTTTGAAATATAGTTTCTCTTACAAGAAACTTAATGGAATAAATAGATATTATGATTTATAGGAACATAAATATTTTATGATTTCAGGAAACTAAATGAGTTAAAGAGAAGGCTAACGAAATTGTGTTATACCCTAAGATCTAAAATAAAAGAATTTCTTTTATTTTCTCTTTATCATCTTTTCAACTCATTCTATTCATTTTTCTTTAAGTAAAAATCAATAATCATTCATTTATAATTAGATTAATTTGACACAGAACTATCATCTCTATCTAGCCTAATGTTGTAGGATCCTTATCTTTACCTGAAATCATGTAAAAATTACATTATAAGCAGGTAGTAACAAAAACTTACTACTGCCTTCAATACAAGTCAAAAGATTTAATATGCTTGTTGTAGTTTTAATTAATATCAATCAATAAGCTATTAATATGAATGATAAATAATCCATGAAATCAATATCAATCAATAATAAAAATCAATATGATATTTAAATAAGAGTATCTCACTAACAAAAAGACATCTATCAATCTATAAGAAAATTAGTAAAAAGTCCTATAAATCTATAATAGGTGTTGCATCTATTAGTTATATTCATATTGATGATTCTATTATATAATTCTTTCAATCATTATGTCATTTATAACTATTTATCAGTATGTTATATCAATCTATTTATCAATTAGTTCAATGCACTATTACGTAAATGCAATCATGAATACAATTATAAAGAGTAATAAGGGAGGACATCAATATTTAAAATAGTATTTTCATCATTTCATCTGATATTTATCATATCTATCCATCTATCAATTTTATCTTATCTTTCATTTATTTCTATTAATCATTTATTTTTACATATGACTTTCAATAGTCATTTAAGATTCGTCATCTTTTACCCGTCAATGCAATTAAGTTAATTGATTACAGGCTACAAATAAGATTATACCATCAACCTTTTAGAATTTTTAAAGAAAGTAAGTTATATATATAAAGTCTATTTGGGACATCTACATTTTTTTGTAAAGGTGTTTGTGAGAAGCAATTTTTTTGAAAGTTCTTGTAAAAAGTATATTTCAATTTGTAACACCTCATAATCTAATTTTAGAAGAACTATCTATTTATCTATTAATTAACCAATCAGAGCTTTCTTGAATTCATCAACATAAATCAATCTAGCGGAAACAACTAAAAATCATATACGTCAAAATATAAGACTATATTCATACCTCAAAATTCATGTATAATAGACAAGAATTCAATCAATACTTTCATCAATATATCATTTAGTTCTTGACTACAAAAGAATAAAACTATAAAAATGTAGAAATAAAATAAAACATGAATCCCAAATCTGCTAAACTCCTCTAGATCCTGATTTCTTCCTAAAAAAATATGTTAAAACATAGGATAGACTAACAACTCATTAGGTTACCATAACCTACAACTTAAATCAATGCAAGATAATAGAAATAATATACATGTAATAATTTAATCACTATCAATATGAACATATAACTATAAAAACATGTAACGATCAATGAAATAATTATAGGTTATATGATCAATAAACATTAATACAAACAGGTGAACAATAATCAATAAGTCGTAGCAATTCTATACCCAATAATTATAAAATAATTTATATAACATCTTATTTCATCAGTACACCTATCATTATCATATGCATGTCGTACAATGTCTACGCTATGCATATAAATAATGTAAATCATGTTATTCATATATCAAAATGTATTTATATTAGTTTTATTAGTCTAATCAAATACTTATGTCAATCATAACTAGTATCTTATTTAAATTATGTCATGTCAATTATGTAATTTATTATATATTTATTCCTCTCATATGTATATGCAAGCACTATAAGCAAGAAAAGACATCCAGTTATTTATAGTATTTTCTTATACCCAATCATGTAAGTCAACCCTAAATAAATCAGTCTTAATCATATTAGTCATATTTTCAGGAATCAGTCATATCACAAGTCATTTAGGTTACATGACTATTATATCAAAAGTCATCATTTTTTGCCAATCAGTATTTCATATCACATCAATATGTTTATTTATGCATTCGTTTTCATATGATTTAGAATTATAACATAAATCTTTTTTAAAGGAAATTCTATCAACTCATCCTCCTATACAAGATAACATATCTCCAATTAATCTGAATTAGTCAATCATTTCTGGCCAACCTTTTATATATATATACATATTTCATAGCATATATAATATAATAAACATCTCATTTCACACTCAATACTTAGTTCACTGTATCATATTAATACATGTCAATTTTGTATATGAACCAAAATTAATTAGTGGAATTTATAAGAAAACGTGGTGTGTGTTTTTTTTTTTCACATGTATGTATATACAGTAACTATATTATAACAAATATGCATGTTATATACACATATAAAAAATTTTAATAATTATTTCAAAATATTTAAATTTATCTAAATTATTCAAATAGGATATTTCTCCCAAAACATAAAAAAACTCGATGAAAATTACATATATTCCAGTCAAATACTTATACTGACGATATCTATTACATACCAAAAATTATGCGGCGAAAGTTTGCTAAAAAAATTACAACTTTTGTAAGTTTTGATCAATTAAAATTCATAAAACACAAAATACATAAAATTATTGAAATCAGAGGTAGGGTGATGGCAACTTATCTCGAGACGAACAACTTTACCAACAAGACCGATTAGCAAAAATCACTCTACGACCTCCAAATGTTAAGTTTTTTTTCCTCTCTCCTCTCTTTTTTCTCTAATTGCTCTATGTTAAATGAATGGAAATGTGAAAATGGATTAAGTACTCTCTTAATGGAAAATGCTATCCACATTCATAAAAAAATTCAAATTTTTTTTGTGAATGATTTGAACACAAAAATTCATTGAAGGTAGAGAAGTCATGATTTGTGATATCCAAAAATAAAAAATTCTCTCAAAATCAAAATGACAATAGTTTGAGCAAAAATTATTAGGTGAAACAATAATACACACACATGATTGTTCAATTAAAAAAATTAGATCAAAATTCTTAGTTAAAAATAACATAAGTAAGAAAATCACTATTAAAATGAAAATTATAGTAAAATAATAATATATCAAAATATTTTATTGCAGTTTTTGCTTAACAAAAAATTGTAACATTCTTATCAAAATTATAATTTAAGTAAATATTTTTCAAACGTTTAAATAATAGTTTTAAAGAAAAGTCAAAAAAATAAAAATAAAAAATTGTGTTCGCATGGCCTAGAAATACAGATGACGTGTGCCACAGTACTCCTCTATGATATTTTTTTATTATTCTAGATTTTTTTTTGGGAGGGGGAGGATAGGAACTCTACAAGTAATTTTGACCATGTTCAAAGGATTTTAGATTAAAATTTGTGATATTTTTACTCCAATTGACATGTTGACTTAAAAATAAAATGATAAAATTATGATTGAGGACATTTTCTTAGTTTACTATCATATAAACATTTAGCGAGTAGTGCATTGTGAGTTTTGAAATTATAATTTAGCACTAAAAATTATTTTAGAGGCTTAATGCATAGTTTTGAATTCACAAATTTCAACTTTTGAAAATAAGGAGGTAAATAGTATATGATCGTCGCACTTAATTAAGTATTGATCTTAATGGATATTATAATTTGAGCCTTCCATAATTAAATTCTTGACAACTCGAACTCTGATTTATATAAAGTTATAGTTATACTCAATGTCTTGATAAGACGAACCCGATAATTTTAAAGTTGATCCAATCTAAATTCAAATTAGTGCAAATCAATCCTCTGAAATTTAATAAAAATTTTAAAACATAATTACATAATTAACTGATATATGATTTTTGCATGTTTACAATCAAGATAAGTTTCTTATCAAGAGAAATTTAACGAGCCTAACATCACTAAATTCTAAGGTTATTATAACACTTAAATGCTCAAAAAATATTCTATGATCAAACGATTCAACGTGTGTCATCTAATGGAGTGTTTTGAGATTTTGAATAAATGTACAAAAATGCCACACCTAAAAAATTATAGATAAATCCACATTTTTATATGAAAAGGGGACTATATTATATTTGGAGAGGTTTTAGAGATCTGAAGAACTCTAGAGCTCTAATTAATATTTGATTTCAATGCTCATCACCAGCTATCATCATCATTGATTATCATCTCCTAATTGTTTCCATTTGACTACCATCGTCCACCCATCATATTCCATCAACTATTGCGGGATTACAATCTCCTAACTACAATTGCTTGACACTATCACCCAATTGTGATCTCTTGACTTCTGTCACATGTCTACAACCTCATTACCATCATTGTCTGACAGAAAGGTGTCTTCCAAGTTCATCACCCATCATCAATACTTATGGTGCCGACATACTCCAACTTTAATTAGACTAATGCACACTATTGACTCACATCATCACCTATAAGGTCAAATCACATTATTGATGTGTGATATTGCTTAAAAAGTTGATGTACACCATCAACAACAATGTTAACTCTTTGTCGACTTTATTATATATTATTGTCTATAATGTCAAAGACTGTCATTACCAGTAATGCCAATGCACACAGTCAACACAAACTCTAATTTCTGACATCATTGCCAATATTAAACTATATTTCTTGGTCTATAATATCTTCTTCTCAAATAATTTGATGTGGGGAGATCATCGTTGGATTGTTGGAAGAAGACGATGCTTAAAGGATTTCCAAGAACAGAGGATAGACCAAAGCTCAAAGCCTTAAAGGAGAATTCTATTCATCAATAATGTCTTTCCTGCGACAATGCATACATATATAAACTATATGTAGAATCTTCTAGAAAAGCTTCTAATAAACTATAGTAAGCTAGTCCTAAGGAACACTTAAGCTATGATGTTCCACATCATTCTCCCCTTGCGTCAAAAAGCTCAACTTCGTTGAAGCGTGTCATCGAGGAGGGTGTACATTATAATCAGTCCTCCTAGGTTGAAGATTTTGGGTCTTTGATGCAAGCCCATAAGCTCATTTAGAGGAGCCCAAGCCAACAGCTCTTGTTCACCCGGTGCATCACAGTATGCTTCGAACCATGTTAAAGGAGGATGTGCTTGCCCAACAAAATCCCCATGCATCTATTTGACAGAAGAAGTACCTTCGAGAGAGTTCAACTTCATTTCCTTTCTCCCATAAGAAGAGCTTGGCAGCTGCCCATTTAAAAAAAACATATAATGCATGATCAGCAAACTGTATGATGATAACAAGAGGTTGATCGCTACTCAGAAACCTTTCAATTGAATTCAGATCAACAGTTGTAATGTACAAAAGATAATCACTGGTGTCTTTGGACACATTTATTGGCTCTAGTATACCAGTGGTTGTAAGAAGGTAATTATCTACCATTGAAGCAATTTTCTCATCATACCATTCATGCATAAGTTGTTCGTTACTAGAGTCTAACATTTGCATTTGTGATGTTTGAATGCAAACTTTTGCGGTGTTGAAGACCACATTTCTGCATTCAGGAAGGATGCTAATTTACCAAGGTGGCAAAGCAGCATTTACTAGAGAAGGATAGCCCGGTGGAGGCGGACGGGGGAAGGAAGGGGGTTGGTTTTTGTACTAGCGGTTGGCAACCAAAATAACTTCATTCTTTATTTCTACAAATCCTTGTGCTGAAGTTCTTGAAATTCATTTTAATTCTATCAGTTTTCCATCTTCTAGTAATCCCTTATAGACTATCCCAACAAATTTGGGGTCAGACCCTTCATCGACATTACATCAAACAGCTTGGGGGCATTGCGATAGATCGGCTTTGTCAGTCGAATTCAAACCTGACATTTTCGCACATGCAGGGAAAACGTTCACAATACCACTTCCAACAGCTTTGCTACACGTCAAAATCATTTATATTTATTTTAGCAATGCTAAGGGCATGAAGATCTTGACATACCTTCGTGAAAGCTAAGGCATAAGTGTGTCGTGATAGTCTTCTCTCGACCCAAAGAGCCTGCTCCCATTCAATGCTTGTTCTGTTGTGAGGTCGTCAAGACTTTTTTCTAAATGCCTGTTTATGATATTCCTCAACAAATTCATGGCAGTCGTGCCCTCTCCAAGTCCACAAAAAGACAAAATAGTCCATTCTACAGACCATGTCAAACATGGAGCTTCAAATAGTTCACGCCTTAAGTGTGGCTGCTCAAAAGAAATGTAGATGAAAACTTCATCTGGTTTCAAAACCTTGTGCACACCTTGTAGCACTTTCATCACTTTGCTTACCGTTTCAGGCCTGGGATTCCATGGATCACCACTGTCAAGATACAATGCATCCGTAGTTCCTTTCTCTACAACAATATCAAAGCTCTCACTCTCAAACAGAAGGTCAAGCATGTCAGCCTCAACCACTTAGATTCATAGCAAACCTTTTTCCTTCAAGCATTGTCTCATCCTTTTAATGGCGATGGACAAGAGATTGATGCAAGTTACATCCATAACGCCCTCTCCGTGCAGCCTTTCTGATGTGGGTTTGGGGTCACAAGAGAGGAGTGGTGTTTGTGCAGGACTGATCGGGTTCAATTTAGGCGGATGGTGTCACGCGGTAGTGGCGCACGAAGGCGGATGCAGGAGCGGAGGAAGTCGGGAAAGTGCATAATCGATCTTTAAGAGCGTGTGTGAGTAGATGGCCGAAGATAGTTCAATTACCAATGTGCATACTCGTTTTAAAGAAAAGTTGAAATGAGCAAATAAAGCATCAATCCGATCAAGTGATGCTTCCAATTGAGCCACCCGAAGGGCTTCGTGGCATCGATCACGGTCGACATCCCTTCTTCCTTGACGGCTATCTTCATGAGGATAGTGGGGTGGTGGTTCTCACTATTGGAGTAGAAGTTGAAGCAAACGATAGTCGTCTTCTTCGTGGTCGATCGTCCATCTCCTTCGGCATTGATCATCGTCGACTGCCCATCTTCTTCGGCGGCGATCTTTATCGACCGCCCATCTCTTTCGGCGACAATCTTTGTCGACCGCTCATTTTCTTCGGCTTCGATCATCGTCGACAACCCACCTTCTGCAGTTTATCGTTCTTCGCAAGCTTCGGGCTCTGGTACCAACTGATGTGGGGAGATCGTCATTGGATCATTGGATGAAAATGATGCTTGAAGGATTTCCAAGAACATAAGATTGACCAAAACTCAAAGGCTTAAAGGAGAATTCTATTCATCAATAATGTCTTTCCTACTGCAATGCATACATATATAAATTATCTATAGAATATTCTAAAAAAGCTTCTAACAAACTATAGTAAGCTAATCCTAAGAAACACTTAAGCTATAATGTTCCTCATCACAATTTAATAAAAAAAAAAATCAATTGAAAATAACTCTAATTTCTCAACGCTCCTATAAATTCCATCATGAAATTCAACCTCCACCATTCATATCAGTTATATTATATCAACATATTCTCCAATTAGAGAGAAGTGTAGTGTATCATTTATAACTGATAAAATACATCTCACGCCTCCCGCGTGTTCTTAAATTTTTTTGGGAGATTTACGAAGGCAGCGCACAGAATTATATATTTTTTATATTTAACGCTTAAATTATATTATTTGTATATATGACACCCAAAAGATTTTAAATTAAAAATAAAAATATGGTTCGTCATTTCAACCCATCATCACGCCGCCTCCCGCGTCACGTGAGTGGATTGTAAGAGAAAAATGCAAGCTCTGACGAATGTTCTCTATCATATTTAAAACGATGAAAATTAAGCAAGCGGGAGGGAAGGAGGGAGGGAATCTCTCGGGAGAGAGCGAGGGAAGCTGGAAGTGGAGCTAAAAATGGAGGAGCATAAGAGTGAGATAGGGAGAGTTTGTGTTACTGGAGCAGGGGGTTTTATTGCCTCCTGGCTTGTGAAGCTTCTCCTCTCCAAGGGTTATAAGGTTCATGGCACCGTCAGAGATCCAAGTACTTCTGCCTATCTTTTTCCTTTCTTCTATTGTTTCAACTCTGTTCAGGAAATAAACATTCTACTTTTGCTTTTGTCTAATTCATGACGTGCTACAACTGTTGTAGAAGTGAAACTGTTCTGCTTGTGCATGTCAGCATACCTAGATCACTTTCCAGCTTTGAGGGGCTGTTTGCTATCCTGTATTAGGCAAGATTTAGCTTAAATCCACCCAAATAGAATGTTGGAGATTTTGAGTCTTCGTTTGGGAGGACTTTCTTGTTGTTTCTTAAAACAACTTTTTAATACAAAAATTAATTTTTTTTACTAAAAAACTGCTTTAAGAAGCACTAAGAAAGCCATCCCAAACGAGGCTTGAATCTAATTTAGTTTTAACTGCGTTATTAGTTATGCTAAATAGTTTTTATATTTTAATCCTTTCGATTTGTTAAATCTTGATTTACTGGATTTAGTACTTATAGCCAAACAACTACAAACAATTCTTTTCCTAGATCTATATTGAGTCCAACAAATGAATGTTAAACCCTTCCATGTCTCATTAAACATTGTGTATTAATAGTGGGATTTGATTTTATGTCTCATAATCACTGTAATCAGTCAAATGTGCTAAAAAAATATGCTTGAAAGTTCGTTTCTGACTAAAATGTTTAAATACAACTAGTTCAAATCAATTTCATTTGCGACATACTTCAATAAGTTGTCTGCGAAACAAATTTTTTGGGCATATTTTATCAAAAATAAATGGCGAATATACTAGATCAATTACAACTATTATGAGCAATATGAAATCAAATTTTATTGTTGTTATGATGAAATTGGTATACTTATTGAGCTTGGTATCTTAAGGTAATGAAAAGAATGATCATTTGAAGAAGTTGGATAAGGCCACAGAGAATCTGCAACTCTTTAAGGCAGACTTGCTTGACTACAATACTGTTGAGGCAGCTATTTCTGGTTGTGAAGGAGTCTTCCATGTTGCTAGCCCTGTTATTTTAAGCGGAATTTCGAATCCAGAGGTAGTAATAGTTTGGTTTAAGTTTTGTTGATTCTATGCTTTCCACCTATTTGTAGACCAAATGGGACTGTTTAGCAGATTTTTTTCTTCCAAAAAATTATATTTTTCAGGAAGAACTAATAAAACCTGCTCTTGTGGGAACTAAAAACGTACTCAAAGCATGCACGAAGGCAAATGTGAAAAGAGTTGTGGTTGTTTCTTCTGTTTCTTCTATAGTATCTAATCCAGATTGGCCACAAGGTACTATAATGGATGAGAACTGCTGGTCAGATGAGGAGTTTTGTAAGTCCACTGAGGTAATTTATTTGCTATATTTGAGAATTCGGATATTGGGAGTTTAACAAATGTTTTATGGATTTTTGAAAGTATAAGCATCCTCCTACATTGAAACTTGTTTTGTTTTTGTTTTTCACATAATAGTAATATGTTAATATTAACATTCAAATACCTGTAACAAGATTGTTTTTTATTTTCTCTAGAATGACAATGTAATATGATTGTAGATCATTTAGCTCAATAATTCTATCAATCCTTAGACGTAGAGCAGTGGTTAAATTTTTTGTCTATAATACATCATCAGGAAATTCATCTGATCTAATACGAATTCAACATAATTTTCAAACTTCAATCCACCCAAGTATTATGGCTAGAAACTTTAGCAATTGATTTGAGATCATTCAGACTCCAAATTCAGTATACATATAATCAAGTTTATGCAATTCAACTTAAATGAATCCAACGATATTGAGAGCGATTGAATTTGAGTAAAAATGGCTTATATCAAGCACTCATAAATATGCTGCTACTATACGCCGGATGCTATGTATATGTTTGACAACTAGCCTTAATTGAAAGTTCTCTCTCATTATTGGGAGGGGTAATTAACTACAATGGTTTGTGCCTATAGGAAACCTGAACTCATATCATAAACTCCTCGCAAAATGTGGGCAAAATCTCTTAGTAATGTCTTATTCAAAATCCAATTTGCCTTCTAAAATTTTTCCTTAGAACGTACTTGTTAAAACTCTTCTCGGCGACCTTAAAATAAAGAAAGGGTCCGCGGAGAGGGCGGGGCGCAAATTTTCGGTGCCCACAACATTTTGATATTTTGCACTTTTTATGAATTTTTGCCTTCGCCTTTTATTTTGTTACACGAATTAGGGTTGCAGATCTGGTTGCTAAGAAAGCTGCTTAGGGAACAAATATGGAAACATGAATGAGTAGGGATATGACATGCATTCCATGTATTGTCATTTTAGGCATTTGACTAGTGTCAGGTGACACTGTGGTCGAAATTATATAATCCCACCACCCCAAGAAAGGAATGTATGATGTACCTGCACGAGAAATTTAGTTTAGCCAAAACACATGTTTGTGTTACATGAGTCGCTGACGAGGCTCCTTCTACCACGCTAAGAAAAGCATGCATGGATTTGCCCTACAACAATGAATGCATCGCTCGCAGGTTCATCTACTACACCGCACGCTTCGCCTATGAGTCTCCACCCACCATGCTAAGAAAAGCATGTGTAAGTTCTTCCTCACCATGCCAAGTGCATAGCTGGTGGGGTCCACCCATGACATGCAAATGCCTCTGACAAGCTTCTACCTACCAAGCTAAGAAATGCGTATATGGATGCTTCCTCTTCGCTCCAAATGCATTATCTCAGGTTTCTAAGTTTTAGGGTTTAGAAAAACAATGATAACCTCTAATGACTTTAGCCAAGAAGTGTCGGACAGTGGTGGGAGTTGCGACAACCAGCTGAATGGAGCATATCGGCGGCTAGAGGTGTACGAGGATGATGGCTAGGTTGGGAGAGGCTTAGTTGGCGTAGGGACGGCTACATGTGGTCAGGATCAAGTACTATTAGAAAGGGAGAGGGAGGATCGAGCACTCGGTCTGGGAGTTCTGTGTGTGAATTTCTATGAGAAGGAAGCGGGTGGGTTATTTTATGAGGGGATGGGTGTTTTGAATGAATAGAGTAAGGGTTTATGTATTTAATTAATGCATTTACATTTTTGTCAAAATAGAAGGACAAAATATCCTTTCAGCTGCAATGAAAAGAGCATAGGAAGATTCATGATTTTTTTTATTTTTTATTTATTATACAACAACAACACAATAACAACATCATGTCCCACTACGTGGGGTCGGTTACATGAATCATTTTTCTCCATTGTGTCCTATTAAAAGTCAAATTCTCATTTAAATCTAATAAAGAAAGATCATTTCTAATATTTTCTAACCAAGTATTTTTAGGTCTACCTTTACCTTTCTTAACATAAATCAAATCTAATACATCTACTTTCCTAATCGGGTCATCGAAAGGCTGCCGTTTTATGTGTCCAAACCATCTAAGGGGACTCTCTCTAATCTTATCTTCCACTGGCGCCACTCTAACCTTTTCACGTATATGCTCATTTCATATCCTATCTCTAAGGGTAAAGCCACTCATCCACCTGAACATCTTCATCTCTGTAACACTTAGCTTAGTATTATGCTTCTCTTTTAATGGCCAACATTCAGCACCATAAAGCATTGCAAGTCTGACCATCATCTTATAGAATTTTCCCTTAAGTTTGTGGGGGACTTTTCTATCACACAACAAGCCTGATGCACTCCTCCACTTCAACCATCTAACTTGAATTCTTCTGATAATATCCCCATCTATTTCACCATCACTCTGAACAATAGATCTAAGATATCGAAAATGTGTGCTCTTATTAATGGCTTGATCGCCCAAAGTCACAATCCTCTCACTAAGTTTATTACTACTAAAATTACACTCTATATATTCAATTTTAGATCTACTCAAGTGAAAACCTTTAGACTCTAAGGTTAACCTCCATAATTCAAGTTTACCTTCAACTCCCACTCTAATTTTATTAACAAGACGAATATCATGAACAAAAAGCATACACCAAGGTATATCCTCTTGCAAATGTCTAGTGAGAACATCCATGACTAAAGCAAAAGATATGGGCTTAAGGTTGATCTTTGATGTAATCCAATCGAAATGGAAAAATACTTGGTCAAACCACCTTGTGTTTGAACACAAGTAATAGCTCTTGCATACATATCTTTAATGATTTGAATGTAAGTGTTATTAACTCCTTTCTTTTCAAGAACTCTTTAAAGCACTTTTCTTGGAACTTTATCATATGATTTCTCTAAATTAATAAATATCATATGTATATCCTCCTTATTCTCTCTATATTTCTCCATCAAACCTCTCAATAAATGTATGGCTTCCATAGTAGACCTGCCCGACATGAATCCAAATTGATTTTGAGAAACATTAGTATCATGACGCAATCTACGCTCCAAAACTCGCTCCCATAGTTTTGAAGTATGACACATTAACTTAAATCCTCTGTAATTCACACAATTTTGTGCATCACTTTTATTCTTAAAAATAGGAACTAAAACACTCATTATCCACTCATTTGGCATCCATTTAGTTTCAAAAGTTTAGTAAGCCAAGAAATTCCTTCATCTCCTAAGTATTTCCACATCTCTGTTGGAATATCATCAGGTCCAATTACTTTTCCACACTTCATTTTCTTTAAAGCCATTCTAACATCGGTTTTACAAATTCACTTATAAAAACAAAAAAAAATTATTTTTATTTAGGGTGCTAAGGTCACTAAAGTTGATCATATTTTTACATTATTCATTAAAAAGTTTAGCAAAATATCTCATCTACCTTTATTTTTATTATCTATTTAAATAATTTAAGTATAATAAAATGTAGTTTAATTTACTTATTTAAACACGTTTTTTTTATTTTTTTATTAACTACTAATATATAAACATTAGCTCGAAACACTTATTGACTTGCTCACAAAAGTCTCGTCATTTGTATGCGTTGAATTCCGCCTCATTTCACGTGCATGTAAATGGAGTTTTTGTCAATTTTATTGTGTTGGTACCTAGGTAATATGGGTCTCATTTCTTAGGTTTTGGGATGTTCCAAACGTGTTTGCTCATTCAATTTTGCAAACAAAGGTCATTCGAACAACCTCGCATATCGTCACACATTCGATTTAATGTTTTTGGCCACATTTGCTTGATCTACTTGTGAGAGGTCTCATTTGACTAATTTCGATGTTCTAATCATGATGGTGCAATTCGGTTGGTTATCAGAGGTCATTTTGAGTGGTTTCGAGCATTGTTGGTGTATGTCATATAAGCTTGTGCGGCATATCATCGACCCATCGTCAACCTCGTCGGGCGTCCTCGTCTTGATCATTAGAAATATTTTTGGGGTCAACAGACATGATATGGTCACCACTGCCACAACACCCGCATTCTTCTTAGTGTCTCCTTCTACCTTGGTGCTTCATATGGAGGTTAGGAGACCTTTGATGTTTTTTTCTCCTTATATTTAAATACATGGATCAAGAAGTCCATTTTGAAAAAAATAAGAATGCCTAAAAATTGCTCATTTGACCTCTCAACTTATTTTTCTTTAGTTATAATGCCACACAAAAATTTCTAACCAATAAGCCCTTCAGGACTATTTAAGAACAAACTACTTTGATAATAGTTCAATTTTGTTTAGGCAATAAGGATAGCATCCACATAATATTTCAAGCAATATCTATGAATTTATAAATCACAATAGATGAAGCGACATAATCGACAAAGTCATTGCATTAGAATTTTTTCCCATATAAAATGAAAATTTTCAGCATAAAAAATCATGAATGAAGCTCATGATGTGTATTAACTTCTCCTATCATATATTTCAGCTTTTATAAGAACAATTGTCATTAAGATACAACATTTATTAGAAAAATTTTAAAAGACCACTTTGGGGGAGCATGTACTATTCTCAGCAATCAACTTTCTTCCATTATGGTATTTTTGTAAGGTGCAATTGATATGCCACCTAATAATTCATTTTATCAAGTATGAATTTGGAAGCAATTTTTTTCAGTTCTCAAAGCACCTAACTATTTGGGCCATTGAGATCGTTTGAACTATTTTTTCCATAGTTTTAAAACCGGACTGGATCAGCCTATTCGACCGGTTCAACTATGAACCGGTTAGATGGCCGGTCCGAGCCAACTTAAGAACCGACTTTGCATCAAACCAAGCTGAACTGGCAAAAATCGCCGATTCAACTAAGTCCTGGTTTTCTAAAACCGGCCGGTTCAACAAATTTTTTATTTAAATAATTAAACAAATAAATTTAATATAAAATTTAATAAACTAATATAAATATTATACAAGGTTTAAAATTGCATAATCAGGTATTGAGGTATTTTTCGTTTGTGAGGCAAGGCGTAA